GTCAAAATCCTAGCCACTTTACCATATTGGAATTTCCCACTTTATGAGTTGAGTATTTCAATCTTCTTCCACTAACCATTTTAGGAATGATCACCCATCATCCTATTGGCACTAACTGTATTTACTGAAGAGTAACTTATGCAGGAGGGCAAGAAAGGAAAGAATGAAAGCCAATGACACTTTTAATCTAGAACTGCACCCACTGAGATGGCCATCCTTACTCACAAGAGACGTTCATTTTCCTCTGTAAGAGATGCAGTGAGAGGCCTGCACTGTGACTATGGAGAAGTTTCAGTGGGTGGAATTATTAAAGGTGGAGGATCCATGTTAGTCCTCTAAACTGAGCTCTGCATACTTGAAGCTGTTGAATCATTCTGGTCCCTCTCTCCCAGTCTTTCAACATCGTGCTGCAATGGACAACGCTTCTATAGTTCCTCCATCCCCAGTCTTTGCTTTCCTCTCCACTTCGTAAATGCCTTTCCTCTGCCTGGAACAGCCTCCTTCATTCTAATCTGGGTAATCCCCGAGGTCTTTCTAATCTCACTGAGATATCAGTTCATCTGACATCCTCCCACATCTACCCCTCAGGAGGCTCATGTGTCCTGGTGAGAGTCTCTGGAAAAGTCAATATCATTTTTTAGCAACTAGTATAAACTTGTTGAATATTAGAACAGAAAAATATATATACAGACGTGGAACTATTTTATATATTACAGGGGCAGAATTGGAACTGGCTCTTAGGAAAAGTAAGAAACAAGAATTAAAAGCTAATAAGATTCTCTCCTTCAAATGTTTGCTAATTTTTGGTTATTGACTTCCTGCCTCTGTGCTCCCTTGCTGTGTGTGTGGTAGAACTCACCCAGGTAGAAACAGTTGAGTGTCCTTCAGTGAATGGTGTTTCCAAATTGCAGTTATGGTATTATTGCCTCTTGTAGACTTCTAGTCACTGGAAGATTTAAGCAAAGAGAGCAGTGAGTATAAGATGAGCTGTTATCCCAACAAGCATACAATGCTAAGATTTTGAGACTGCCTACTTGTGTTTCTTTGTCATCACATCGGCCGTTGCACTCACTTGGGGAGTGAATCATCGGACGGAAGATCTCTCTGTCTCTCCTCCTCTCTGTATATCTGCCTTTCAAATAAAAATAAATAAATATTTTTTAAAAAAAAATCTAACACAAATTTTATGAGAAAGGGAAATGATAGGCAAATCTGTAATGAGAAACTAGACGCAGTAATTTTGGACACAAAAGTAGCAAAAACATGATACAGAGAATACTTCATTACAAATCGGAATTTATTTATTTTATGAGGAAGGTAAGTAATTTGAAAACACAGTTACACAATTCACCACATAACAAGACAAAAAAAGAAAATTTAACAATAAGTGAAGGCAAAGAGTGGATACATTTTGGTATACATCTGTAATTTTAAAAAATATCAAAAACCAACAGTAAGTGCTGATACACTAAAAACTGCTCTTGGGGCCCAGCATGGTTGCTAGTGGCTAAATTGTTGCCTTACAGCTCGAGAATCCCAAGAATCCTGTATGAGTGCTTGTTCATGTCCCAGGTGTTCCACTTCCAACCAGCTCCCTGCTTATAGCCTGGGAAAGCAGTGAAGATGGCCCAAAGCCTTGGGATCCTGCACCCACGTGGGAGACCAGATGCAACTCCCAGATCCTGGCTTCAGATCCACTAAGCTCTGGCTATTGTGGCCACTTGGGGAGTGAAACAGCAGATGGAAGATCTTTCTCTCTGTATCTCCTTCTCTCTGTACATTTACCTTTCTGATACATATAAATAAACAAACGATGAATAAATAAATGATAAATCTTTGAAAGAAAAACCCACTGACATTCTAACAATCAAGAATTGAACAAGATGTCCCATCACCACTTTTGTTCACCGTTGTGATAAGCATCATGTACAATGCAATAAAATATGAAGAAATGAATGAAGAATTGAACAAAATGTTAATTCTTGCAGTACTTGTAAATAACACAGATGTACACAGAGAAAATCATAGTGAATCTAACTTGATGTGTGAATTAAACAGACTTGTACATGAAGTCGGGAACAAAGATAAGTCCATCTCTCTGCATTAGAAACAAGTTGGAAGTGAAAATATTTAAATGAACTATAATAGTATCAAAAAATCAATTGTGTTGGAATAAATTGGACAAATCTTGTGAAAACTCTCTACACAGAAATCATAAAACATTACTGAGATGAATTAACTAGTAACCCAATGAAGGGATACATCATATTTACGGAGTTGAAAATTCACTAATGGTGATTAAGATGGCAGCTTCTTTACATTGATCTATGAATCAACGTATCTCAGTCAGAATCCCAACACTATCTAACCTCAGAATCTGATTGAAAATCGTGTCCCACAATGGCAAACTTGAGAGACTTATTACCAAGCTGTCAGGAATCTTAAAGATGTTTCACTATATTTCTGCTATAAGGATATACAAATGGGCCAGTAGAACAAAATAAAATGTAAGATAAAGTTGAAAGTGCAATTTCATAAAGCAAAGATGGCCTTCCAAACAAACAAAGCTGATATCTGTATGTTTAACAAGTTAATCATGAGCCCCACTTTAACTTGTACACAGAAATCAACTGAAGTAAATTATATGATTAAAATCAGGAAACAAAACAATAATCCTTCTGTAAGAAAATATTAACTCTCCGACTTTCAGAAAAACACTGATTTCTTAGTCTTCAGGGCTCTCAAAAAGGAAAAAGCTTACTCAATTATATAATATTAAATCACCAACTTCTACCCATAAAAAATAGTAACCAAGGAAGCAGAGGACATGTCATGGTGTACATTTATACGCATACAGGTTAAACAGTGTTAAATTGCTGACTACAGATTACGCACAGCTTCAACCTTTTACTACAGGATTCTGCCAGTCTCTACTACTGCCAAAATGCATATGACTGTTTCAACTTCTCCACGCACTTTCCTATGCATTGCTAACTTAAATTTTTGTAGCCCCTTAGTTGTTCTCAGGGTGTTGGACCTAATAGCTAAGATGCCTGCACCCCCACATGGGAGCACCACGGTTTAATACCACCTCTAGGTCCTGATTCCAGTGCATATAAAGGTGCTTAAAATACATGTACAAGAATGTTTATAATCACACTTTCACAGTGTGGCAAGGCTACAAATAAGCAAAATCTTCACCAACACTAGAATAAGTCCAGTTATATAACAGAGGTCAGTACTTATCGTCTGATAAACAAATGACGGAAAGAGTTAGGAGTGCAAGATGCTTCTTGAGCACAGCTCCTGTGAAACTAAAGCCGGCAGGGGTGGCAGAGCAAGCCTTCCAACGGCAGTGCAGATCTGATGGTGCTGAAACAAGAGAGTTGAATAGGGAGGAGCCTCAGACAATGTTGTGGCACTCAGAATGTCTCAGCCAAATCCAAGGGAACCCAGGGTCAGTACTGCCTTTGTAAGACTCCCACGTTGAGTAGAAATCCTCAGTGACTTGACGCTGCATGCAGGCTTATCCTCAACTTGAATCCCCAGGATTCAAGTGAAGTTGATCCTTCACTGCATCCCCAGGACAGTGTAGCTAGACCCTGGCACCTGACCGTCCCTTCTGCTTCCATGGCTGCCATAAAAGGAAGCAGCGAAAAACCAAAACAAACCACTACACAATGCAGCATCACGGAAAGGTAAGAAAACTGAGGGGAGAAAAAGCAGGCCCAGATAATGCTTACCGAATGATTCAATGCTAAGTTCTTTCAAAATGTAAGTTGGAAAATGCAATCAAAAGTAAATGTTTTAATGTTTGAAATGCATGCATTTTTAATATTGCACACTTTTTTCATGAATTTTGAAAACTCTTCCAAAGCATGGGTTCACAATTTTTTTGCAACAAAATAAATTTGCCTCTAAGTCTCTCTTTTATAAATGTATTGAGAGGCCCACAAGTATACAGAGTTCAAAATGATTCAAAATTGATTTATGGTGATCTATGTCAGAATACTGCTTATTTTTATCTTGATCCTTTTGATTGTGGAGAAGAGAAAGAGAAGCATTAAGTGGACTACTTTGGGGCCCAGCATGGTGACTTAACGGCTACAGTCCTCGCCTTGAATGTGCCAGGATCCCATATGGGCACCAGTTCTAATCCCGGCAGCTCCACTTCCCATCCAGCTCCCTGCCTATGTTCTGGGAAAGCAGTAGAGGATGACCCAAAGCCTTGGGATCCTGCACCTGTGTGAAAGAGTCTGAGGAAGTTCCTGGCTCCTGGCTTCGGTTCAGCGTAGCACTGACTGTTGCAGTCACTTGGGGAGTGAATCATCGGATGGCAGATATTTCTCTCTGTCTCTCTTCCTCTATATGTATCTGACTTTGCAATAAAAACAAAATAAATCTTAAAGAAAATAGACTATTGTGGCCAGTATATAATGACCTGAGTTGTGTTTGTACATGTGTTCTATTTGTAAAACCTCATTGAGCTTCATGTCAAGATGGGTGACCTCTTAAGACCCACGTGTGCATTCATACATTGAAATTCCATGAAAAGGCATTTAAAAAATTGACATGGCTAGCTAAAGACATCATCAGAATTAAGTAACACCTACATCCAGGCAATGAAAGCCCAAGGAGTTAACTGCTTGGTGGACCGCAGTGGAATGTAAAAGGGAATAAAATATATTCATTTTGATATGGAAGATTCAAATAATTTTTTCCAAAATATTGCTGTAACTATTAAATCCCTACTACTAATAGGAAACAGATGAAATGCTGCTATTTTCTTTTCTTTTATAAACAGCATTTTTATGATGATAGCTATCATATTTTTATGCTGACAAAGCTTGTACACAACAGCATTAGCTTAACACAGCACTTCTCAACTTTTTTCAAGCTGACACAAAGTTAGAAAAGCTGCCATTATCCTGCTCTCTTTATTTGAATTTGCATTCTGCTTTACACAATAATTAATGTCTGTACCACTTACACACCATCTTTTTAAGATGCTTCCTCACACAAGATGAACTTTTCGCTGTGTTCTTTGGCTAAGCCATTTTTTATAATAGTTGTAAAATGACAGAATGGGGAGAGAGTTGGGAAGACATAGTCCACACAACCTGCTACTGAAAGTATTCTGAAGCTCTTAGACTCCTAAGATTTATGTTATTTAAGAAATATTGGCTCAATCAACAAATTTCGTTTTAGCACCCGCTATGACCAAGGCACTGCTTCAGGTCCTTCACAATTCCATGTAATTATGCTTGGGATAGATATCAGTTAACACAAATGGAACAAGAAGGTAGCAATCGAGAAATGAGAGGACTGGAATGTGTCTGAACTGAGGATGTGTCCGAACTGAATTTGGTTAAATCTCAGATACTAATTAGATATCGTAATACTGAGAAAGTAATTTAACACTCTGGCCGACAGGTCCCAAGCTGTAAACCGAGGAGGTTGAATGTATGATCTTGGAGATGCATTCTGGCAGCTCTGCATACTGGTTCGGCTCCCATTTGTCAGCCGTATGCCCTTGAGCAAATTACCTCACCTTTTATGTCTAATGTTTCTCTTACGGTCTCATGGTTGTGGCAGATAACTTTGGTAGTCCTCTGTCTTCCTTCTTCATCAGAATTCCAATTTGGTTCTTTTTCTACTTTTTCCCTAGGAGTTAGGAGAAAGTTGTCCCATCCCAGCCACAGGTTGGATGCCTTGTCTATTTGAACTGTGGAAATGGCATTCCCTTTTCCAGGATTTTCTTGACTTGGGTATATGACAGAGATCGCTGCTAGTCAAAGAGACAAAGAATGGCTTCTGTGAGGCATAAAGAGTCATTTTTCATTCTGTATTGCCTGCCTACAGCTTGAAACTGGAACAGTTCCAGGCAGCTTGGGACTTTGACGGAAGCCAGTCTGCACAGGATGCGAAGGACAAAGAGGTGCTTGACAATAAGTACTTGAACACTTAAGCCAAAGATCAGATTGTATCCTGATCCTGCCCTCTGGACTTCTTACTAAATGAAATGGTATATTTACCGTTGAAACTAGCTTGATCCATTTTTTTCAGACTTGCTGCATTTCCCCAAAAAAATTTCCTAACTGATATATTCTTCATAGTAGAAGTTATGGAATTGAATGATAACATGTCTGGTGCCACAATTTTTAAGCAACTTAATATGTTTATATTAACACATAACAATTAATTTATATAATAACATACATATATTTAATATTTAACTCAGAGTATTTCAAAATACTGTGTTTTTTGCATTACTGCCTGTTAATGGAAACTGAAGTAACATTCACTCATGTAGTTTATCAGCTGTTGGGTTCCAGACACAGGAAAAAAAATGTAAAATGGTCACTTTAGGAACTGAAAATGCGTATGCAATGATTTTACTATTTAAGTAAAAAGGAAAGGCCAATAACCTTGAAGAGTATTGCAGACAACATGCACTACACCAGCTAAGAAAGCATTGCTGGTTGGCCAAGAAACTGGTGTTGATGGATAGGATTAGCAGAGAGCTGACTACCTCACTGAAAGGTTGCAAACCTCAGATCTCCTAGGCTTGAGACATACTGACCTCTTCCTGTCATCCTTGCTGACTCCCCAGGTGGATATACATGAAAGCAAAGGGAGCGCTTCCAATCAGGTAAGCATGGAAAGCTGTGGATAAGAGACCTGTGCCTAGGCAGGAAGCTCTCAAAGCCAAAGGCATAACAGGTTAATCTGAGACGGGGGACCCAATGCCACAATTTGAATAGTTACCACCTGTGTCACTGTGAATCAATGGGCAAAACCAGGCAGACACTTGAAGCCAAGAGTAAGCGGTTCTCCAGCCCCATCAGATAAGCGAGCTTCAGGGCTGCAGTGAATCCACAGAAGTGACTCCATAGAGAAATGTGGCTTTTCCAGCATGTTTATCTACTGAAGCCTTTCAGGCAATGGCGAAAGGTTGGATAATGAGAATCATCAGACCAAAAGATTGTTTGCTGTGATAGGAAGTGTCTCAGTGCCACAAGGATTTGCAAGAGGCTAGCCAACTCCTCAGAGATATGCCTATCAACACACAAGTTAAAATTTCTCTAGAGAAATTTGGATATCTGTCATCTTTGCCTCTCCATGAAAATGTACAACTTAATTAGACTAGGGTTGTTTATCATAAATGTCATTGCTGTGAATTCTGAAACCACATAATAGTATATCTGATCTACTGAGCTTTTTACCTTTATGACAAAGATATTAAGAACAAAATATGCTAAGCACCGAATGATACCACCCTACCTTGGTATCACTTCCCTTCCACAGTGAAGAAAATCACATTTTGATGAACATTAATAACTAATAACTTGTATAATCTTAAAGAGAAAATATACGTACATTTATTTTATTTCATGGAAACCAAAGTCTTTCCATGTCTTGCTGCTTTAGTAACCCTGTATTCAATAGTCATTGAGTGTTATCCTCGGAGGCAGTGTTTCCCAGTACCTGACCCTATGGAGTTGAGATAATTCTAGGGTATATACTGATAAATACGGTTTATTTTATTGGTGATGCAGTTATCTTAATTTGTATAAGTATTTAAATAAAAAGATATATGCACCACAAGCAAACACATGCATGGCACATGAAATCCAGAAAATAACGTTTCCATAAGCAAGTGTGTTTAAGTTTATGAAGTGAATGCACAGGTAAATGTGGTCGACAGAATGCTCAGGCCCCCCCCCCAGGAGGGGGGTGTATAATCCCCTTCTTCAGGAACCTGAATACGAGTGATAGTCACCCTCAATAAGTTGCTATAAAATACAACGTTACCCTAGATCAGGGGAACACATTGTCAGCTGATGGCCCGCACAAAAGCCAAGGTTTCAATCCTGCAGATGCAGAAAACCAAAAAAAAAAAAAAAAATGAATTTTTTCTTCAATATGAATGAGTTGAGAAGTTACAGACCTCCAGAGGAGCCTCTAAAACCTCAGGATATCTGAATTTCAATATCAAGCAGACAGCCTTGATATTGGTGATATTTGTTGCACAACAGAACGCTAACGGAGCAGGCAACACAGCATGAGAGGTAGGGCAATGGCAAGAGCCATGAAGGTGGGAACAGGTGACTGAAGGTTGAAGCCACCACTCTGGAGCTGGGACTGGGGCTTTGGCATAGAGGGTGAAGCCTCAGCCTGTGGCACTGGTGAGTCATATCGGTGCCTGTTCATGTCCAGGATGTTCTATTTCTGATCTAGTTCCCTGCTAATGTGCTTGGGAAAATACCAGAAGCTAGCCCTTGTGCTTGGATCTCTGCCCCTACATGAGAGACCTGGAGCAGCTTCTGGCTCCATCCTGGGCAGGCCCAGTACTGGCTCTGCAGCCATCTGGGGAGTGAGTCAGTAGATGGAAGAGCTCTGTCTGTGTTTTGCCCTTTCTCTTTGTAACTGCTTCTCAAGTCAATGAATATGCATTTTCAAAAGAAGAAAGAAGGGCCCAGTGCGGTAACACAGCAGAAAAAGCCCTCACCTTGCACACGCTGGGATCCCATATAGGTGTTGGTTCTAATCCTGGCAGCCTTGCTTCCCATTCGGCTCCCTGCTTATGGCCTGAGAAAGCAGTCAAGAATGGCCCAAAGCTTAGTACCCTGCACCAGCATGGAAGACCCAGAAGAAGCTTCAGGCTCCTGGCTTCGGCTTAGCTCCAGCGTTGTGGGCACTTGGGAATGAATCAGTGGACGGAAGAACTTCCTCTCTGTCTCTCCTCCTCTCTGTATATCTGCCTTTCCAATAAAAGTAAAGTAAATCTAATAATAATAATAATAATAAAGAAGCAAGAAAATCACTACTTTCCCTCAGAGAACAGAACTACTCTAAGACCTGAAAGGGAGAACTGTGGGCTTTGGTCCTGCATCTTAGAGTTCTCAACTATCACAGATGCACAGGCACACCCAGTGGGCACCCACATGGGTTTCTGTTACTTTGATGTCCAAACTGCAGAATTGGCACAACATACTCTTTTGGCCTAAACATCCGTTTTCTTGGCTGACATCATTCCGGCTCTAAGAAAATACTTTTGTTATTGTTGTTTTGTTTAACTTCTATTATTTCTATTAAAATGTCACATTATATTTTATTCACTTATTGTTAGCTTTCAAAAGGTTCAATATCGTTCATACATGCAATTCTAGGAATATAATGATGTTTACTCCCTCCCTCCACATCTCTGTCTCCTACACTCTCTTCCCTCTTTCAGTAGTGTGCATTTCTCACACAATATCTTTAACTTTGTCTATTCAAGTTGTTCTACCAAAATGCCGTAAACTAAGTGGCTGACAAGCAACAGGAATTGCTTTCTCATAGATCAGGAGCCTGAAGAAACCAGAAATCAAGGGCTCTCTGCCATGGTCTGCTTGGTGATGGGCTCCTACCACCTAACGCTCATCTTACTTTCATGCGGTGAAAGAATGAGGTACCCCCATTATGAAGGCATCCATCTCATTGATAAGTGTTCTACTCTCATGACCCAATCATCCAAGAAGTTTGGGGATTCAAATTCCAATTTCAACATTCAAATTTTAGGGACACCCATTCAGACCACAGAAGTCTTGAAAACAATCCTAATGGCTATAGGAATTTGTGTACTGAAATTCTCAATCTTTCTCTCCCTCTCTCTCTCTCTCTCTCTCTCACACACACACACACACACACACACGGAGAAAGGGGGTGGGGGAATAATTGGCATGTAAGGAAAGCAAGGACAATTTGAATGGGAGAGGAGAAAATTAAGAAACAAATTAAATATAACTTACAAATTATTTTTGATCAGTGTGACTCTAATAGCTTCTTTCCTAATGATGTATAACTTCTCAATAAACTCAACTATTTCTTGCTTCTCTTCAAGTTCTTGTGTGTGGATCTGAAAAGTACTGATAGATTCCTGGGGCTAAAGGTACAAGTTACCTGTAGATACTGAGAAATATTTTGTACTATGAATTTCTTTTACTCTAAAACAGGAGTATATATGCAAATGCATGCACACTCACTAATTCTTTACATTCGTGAGTAATTAAATATAAACTTAATTGGAAGCTCAAATTGAAAGTACTTGTAATTCTGCAGAATACTGAGGAAGGTTTAATTAAATATTTAAAATGTCAGGAAGGTTAAATAGTACAAAAGGGAGGCAATAAACACAACAGATTGGGGAAATTCCACAGAATAAAATTATTCCTTCAACAAAGAAAGTGCAAAAAAATGAAAAGAGAGGGATAAAAAGGAATACCAAAGATTAAAAGAACCTTCAAAGAAATGTTACAATATGTGACCTGACAGTGAGTTCAATGTGTCAACCTGAGAAGGCGCTGGAGTGTTCAACTGAAACTTGTTTCTGGGGGTGTCTGTGAGCGAATTCAGCGCCTGGATCTACAGACTCAGACACTTTGTTGCTCTCGACAATGTGATGGGCATCCCAGAAACCACTGAGAATCCATGCAGACCAAAAGCAGAGACAGAAGGCCAACTCCTGGCTTCCTTGCAGACTTGTTGAGTTGGACCTGTTACCTCTGTGCTTCCTGGCTGTGATTTTTATCTTCAGCTCAGCTGCTTTCCATGCCTCCAGAAGAAGACTGAAGATTGTATTTCCAGGGTTTGGAAAATTTGCAGAAATAGGCCATGGAAGATTTTTGCCTTCACGATCATGTAAGCTAATAAATCTCTCTAAATGTGTGTAGGCAAATAGATGATGAAGATAGATAGATAGATAAATAGAGAGCTAGAAAGCTAGCTAGCTAGATAAACAGGTAGATGATAAACGCAGATGTAGATATACAGTTCCTGTCTGTTTCTTTGGAAAACTCTGATGCAAACCTTTACTTGACCCTTCATTCAGATCTGTTATTAAAAGTATGCAACATATGAGATCATCAAAATATCAAACACTTTATGTGTAATATGTGAAACATATTATCTTTTGGAGATATATATGGATAAGTTTATATATCAAGTTTTATGATAAATTTGATTACATCAAGGTGAGAAGGG